CTATTTAGATTTGACTACAACACAGTTAGAATTTAGCAAGTTTGTAGTGTTCAGAAGACTCAGCTTTTAGTACCCATAGATACTTGAAGGAAATTAGTATTTTAGTCTTAATGGGAATTCTGTTCCAATGGGAAGTGCATTCAGAGAACAAAATCAGCAGTCTGCTAAACTTAAGGTGATGAATTTTCATTGAAGTCCATACACTGTTCATGTACAGGATCATTCTTTCTTATCTGTCTGCTGAAGAAAGCCACTTCTATAAATGTGTTTTTATCAGATACAGTTTTAACATTATTAGTACAGCAAAACCTTAACAGTTGAGAATTATTCACTATGAAAACAGTTGTTTTGTAGCTTGAATATTTCTGGAATCAAGATGCTTAAATTATTAATATTTCTTATTTTCAATTTTTTATCATTTAGACCTGATCAAACAAAAACTCCTGGTGCTGAAAGCAAGGTATGAAACAGCAATATATATTTATCTCTTCCTATAAACTCACACCTACCCACTGAATACATTGCCATATTTTTAATGTTTAGCTAACTGGCATGTATAGAGGCCACTGCATTAAGTATGATTTTTATAGCTGACATTAGGTGGAAGTTCATATAGAGACACTGTACCACTTCTGTGATCACCAGCTGACACCAGTGAGTTTCTGGGACATAATCACTTCAGCTCTCTATATTAAGATCAGTGAGCAACTAATAAAAGAGTCCTGTAACAAACAGACAAGTGAGACACACAGGAGATCAAATTGCACCTCTGGGAAATACTGTGTCTCATCCAGATACCTGGTGAGAAAAGAGCTATCTTTATTGCTCCTGGTCATGCATCTTCCTGAGAAACTCAGGGACATTTTTAAAAATCATAATTCTGTTAATTTTGGATTGTAATGATACTGACTGTGTCCTTCCTCTCTTTTATGCAGCCACCCTAACAACTTTGGGTTGTAAGACTGTGCACTACATCTTAACTGTCTGCCCGACTGCATTATGCACTTGATCTCAGTCCTAAATTCCTTCAAAAGTTGTTCCTTGAGGGAGTCAGTGAGAAGCAGTGTGGTGTCATCATTACCTTGCCATTCTCTCATCTCAGCACTGAGATTTGCAAGCTGAGATTAAAGCTGAGACAAGCTGACAAGTTTTATTCCATGCATTTAATGGAAAGGTGATTCAGAGGTGATATTAATGACAGTCATCTGTGCTGAGGCTTCAAGTGTCAGGTCCTCCCACAGAAAAAAATCCCACCAAACCTAACTAAATAAGCCATCAGAAAAGCAATGAGGAAAGAAGCCCAGAAGACTGGCTTTGGCCACATTCGTGAGTCTGAGGCAGCATCTGAGCTAGGATTGTCTTTGGAGCAGTTATGGAAAAGGCTACAGTCACAGGAAAGAATGAGTAAAATTGGTGGAGCTATGGAAAACTCTATCACCCAGGGACTGGAAGACAACTGTGGCTAGCATTTCTAAGTGGGAATCTCATTGCTTTTACAAACAGTTTAGTACTACAGGTCACATCCTGGACAATGGCAAGTACTGACTCCAGCAGCAACTGCTGTGTTAGCAAAAGGGAAACAGCTAGTGCTACGGAAAAGACTATCAGAAAATATCTACCACTGGCTCAATTTAGGGTCTCTATACAAAAAAATAGATTCTGAAACTGTAAAAAACATAAAAACACCACTCAAATTTCCAAAATACTGTCCAGTGCTATGATGTTTCTTGTATGTCAAGGGCTATAAACTATCAGATATGTGTATTAGCCTGATCAATTCAGAAGGATGAATGGATACTAATCAATATGATTCTCTTTTTCAGCCAAAACTTGATATGTTTGCTATTTAACTGCTTGTTGTATTACACTGCTTAGCACAGAGCTTTCAGTATCCTTTCTGTTTAGGAAGGAAATTATTGTGATCAGTGTAACCACTGACTGTTCAGTTCGTCATTTATCTGGTGACTGCATGGCAAGACAGCTACAGTTTGATGTAAGGTGTACCATTTAGAAGAAAGTATTTATCTTTTAGTTTACTCTAGTCATCAAATACTACAATATTTCATAACAAAACTCCCCTGTGCCACTCTCCTGTAGCAACACTCTGCACTCAGCATCTATGTGATGCTGAAACCAGGACAGAAAAGGAATTATAGAAAGAAGAATCCACCGTTAAATAAAAATATGGACATTAACATTCAATACTGCACTGTGAATCAAGACAGATACCATTATGAACATACTTAGCTGGGAACAGAACCGGTCCTAACTCTGTAATATATTTAAAACTGGTAAAGGCTCAATGAATTTGTATACAATCAAAGAGCAAGTGGTTCTTGATGCAGGTGAAAATTATTCTTCCTCCACTCCTTATTATTAAAATGTCAAATGCCTGAACTTCCTAGCCCTGTGATTCTATTTGAAAGTAATAGTAATCTTGAAAGGAAAAGGAGGGTAATTCTTTTGTATTTTTACATTTACTATGCCAAACCCACAACATATCAAAATTAGCATCTTCAGTTTTGTTTTTTTTTGAATGCAAATGTTCATCAGTATTTGCTGTTTGGCTTTTCATGGGGTCTTACTGGAGAAACTGCATTTTATCTCACGGAAATACCAATGCAAACTTGGACACTCCTTATATGTTTTTAAAATTCTAATGCAGGATTTTTGCTGTCACATTTTACTTCATACATAACATGCAAATTCCTACACATTATTTTTATAGATGAGAACATATCAATAGGTTATCATCTCTGTTCCAAATACAGATTAAGGACATGCTTTTTAGTGAATTTATTTTAGAAAGAGAATCAGAAGCATGTGTTATGACTTGCTGCCAAGCAAGCTAGATATTTCTGTTTGAATCGAGATGAAACTACAGTACTTAACTAAATTTACTAGGCACAAGTACATGAAATCCAATATTGATACTAATTTATGAAAGTAAGAATACTGATTCCTACTATACTGCAAACTTCGTTTATGATAACATAATTAGTTACACTAATAACACTGCTTAGGCATAGTCTTGCTAATTATGATATTATAAATATTAATGATATCAAGTCTTTGTATTTGATTGCCCCTAGTAGGATCATTTATCACGATATTTCTTTTTACCCATGTTGTATTATTTTTCTTCCTTTTCCCCTGAATGTTCATTCCTGGACAAACAGCATTCCTGAGCTTATGCCTAAAATGTATCACTCGCTTATCAATGATTCAGCCTGTTTAACTTTATACGTTATTATTTAGTAGCAATGATACAGGGATATAATTCAGTGCTAATACAAATACACAATCAATTGCACTCTGTATGTCTTATTCCTTTTGAATGTCCAACAGAGCCAGCCAGACAAGATTACATAGTGCTTTGTTTTTATTCTTTTTCATGTGACCTGTTTCAAGTTAAGATTCCTTTGAATTATTAAATGCTTCCTTAAAGCATATTTTCACACAACCTTTTAAAAGTTAATTATTGATGTAGTGACAAGCAAAAAAGACTAAGAATTATAATTATTTTTCCTCATTGAAAAGGAGATGAGAAACATCTTTGACAATGGTTGTCTGTTTATCAAAATACAAAGGTAATACGAAGATAGAACACTGAATGCAGATTTAAAGAAGAATTACAACAAATCTCTGTAACATGAGTTGGAAACACTGTGTAGGTTTCTACAGGTGTTAAAGGAAAGAAGTTTAGATATAACCCTTTGAGCCTGGTTTAACTGCTTAACATAAGTAGATGAAAATGAAACTGCTTATATCTTGGTTTATTTTTAAGCAGCGTATTATCCAGAGCTTTAGGAATAGGATTGTCTTTCCTTCTTGAAGGTAATGTTATAATTTTCAGAACTCCACAGAGAACAACAACAATATAGGAGTCTCTAATCTCCTGCTAAATCCAATTCCAGTCATCAGCAACGATAAGCAGAGATTTGGAGGTGTTTGACACTCCAAATCCTATTCTTTTGTAATTCTTTACTTTTTACAACATTTTCAACAGTCGTGTATCAGATTTTTGGAAGGATAATCAATAGGCATGATGTATAACTGAAATCAGTCTTCAAAGCGATCCCCTCTAGTAACCAGAAACAAAAGCTTGGCCTCCCTGCTGTGCAGGTATTTTGCTTAGAGCAGTAGGCAGTGAGGCATCAGTAGGAAGCCAGTTACACCTCCCTGCTTCTCAGCATGGATCAGCAGGTGCCCTGGTGGAGGGCTGAGCAGCATTGGGGCAGCTGCAACCCATTGCATCTGACAAAAATCTCCAAAAATGCTTATGTAGCAGGGAACTACTGGAGCAGAGAGGAAAGACAGTCCAGAGGTTAGGATTTCAGAGACCATAGTTTACATTCCTATTTTATCACAGACTTCCTAGGTTTAAATGATCTTGAAGAATATATTAAATAGGTGTCACTGACCTGGAACTTGCCTGCCTTGTAGAGGGTTTGGGCATCAGCACACATGAAAGACCATGAGATGCTCCAGCACAGTGACTGAAGGGCCACTCCTACCTGATCCAGTGTTCCAGCTAACAGCTGATTTGTGACAACCTGTCTCAGCTAGTCAGATCCACTGCAAGGGGGTTTGCATATCTCCCGCACTCTGGCTTGAACACCCCGGAACTTCTGGCACAATATTAGTATGAATCTGAATTGAGCTGAGTTTCATTAAAACAAGCAGTTCCAGAACTTGTTCTAGTGCATTTGTAATTTTACATCTTACACTTTTTTAAAAGACATGATGTTATGAATCAAGTGGAGAGATCATATTTATAGTAAAAAATATTATCCCATATTAAGTCATTTCAAGTTTGTCTTCTTAAGCTGCCTTCAGATATTTGCTAAGACTCAGAAGGAAAAAGATTTGGTGACTAATTGTGACAGTAACAGTGATTAATCAAGGTTAAGTGCAGAAACTGCATACAATGAGTATGGAGTTACTTTCAAAGCCAAGACATAGTGTCATTAAACAGGTATGGCAATGAAACAACATACCTTTCCTATCAGATCAGCAATTTTAGGTACTGGTTTTCCTTTCTGGTGGCACATAGTTGCAGGACTCTGTCCATTCCAGTCTTCAAGTTCCTCAATGCTTTTCAGGTAAAGAAGAGCTCGCAGTCCAGTGCAGTAGTCATCAATAACAGTGAAATCTTGATTTTGAATTGCACTGCAAACCTACAAAATGTTAGTCAGTTATCAGCAACATCCTGGCAGAGGAGCATATGGAATTAGCAAATTCTTTGGATTTACTGATTATCAGATGAGCCTTTCTGCAACTCCACCAGGAAAAAATTACAGGAATTCAGGATATTAGTCATCTGCTTAATCCTAAATCATGATGCCATCATTGCAGTTTAGGAAAAGAAGGGCTCAATAACACTAGTTATGCCCAAGTTTTTCCTAGCAGAAGGCTGTTCAAGCCTGCAAGCCCAGCCCCAAGTGTGCCTTCCGGGGTGCTGCTGCTGGGTTTGACAAGCACACCAGCAAAAAACCCACCAGCTCTGCTTAGACCTTTGCCTGCAGACACACAGAGGTACTTCCCACCCTGCTCTGTTCAGGTAACAGAGACAGAACCAGTTAGGCACCAGTCAAGCAGATCACAGAACCACAGACTCACTGAGACTGGAAGGCATCCCTCGAGATTGTCTTGTCCAACCTCCCAGCTCAGAGAAGGGTCAGCTAAAGGAGGCTATCCAAGACTGTATCCAGTCAGGATTTGAATATGGTCAAAGGCAGAGACTACACCTCTCTGGGGAACCTGGTCTGGTGCTCAGTCTCCCTTGCAGCTTTTTCTTATATTTAAATGGAATTTCCTGTGCTCCAGTTCGTATCCATTGCCTCTTGTCCTGAGATGAATCTGGATCCAATGGAAGTGCCTCAGCAAATAGTACCCATTAAGCTGACCTGTTATTACATATGAACATTTCAAGGCACAGAACAGAGTAGTCTCCTTGTCTAATCACCATTTGCCATTCAGTGCTACTGGGAAGTCAGGCTCACTTTATTTTAGATACTTTAAAAACACAGATAGCAATATAGCTTTATAAACATATAAAGTAGTGATCCCTGACCTGCAGAGCTTAACATGTAAACACAAAACTACTGACAGCAGAGAACAGTCTGACCATTTACAAAGATTCTTCTGGACCGTTTTGTGGATATCAACTTAAACCCACAGAGATCCCCAACCAAACTGACAACTGAATAAAACATCCCTGACTCTTCTCTGAACACCTTCTCATTAGCTAAACTCTAATCAGCCATCAGCGATGAGGTGCAGAGTTGGTTGAGTACCACTAATTGTCAGTCTCTGGAAATGCTCTGAAATTCCAGATGTGTCAGTGTTTTCAGCCTCTGATTCAGCTTTTATTCTAAAAGCTGAAAAGAGTGCTCCTGATAAAACCCTGACTTCCATGGACACATAGTGAACACAACAATGAAATAGCCACCTATTTCAGAACATGAATGTGTGCACATGCACAAACACAACCACACTTCCTGGATATGGAAATACACCTTAGATCATAATTGACATCAACACCTAAAAAATACAGGAAATATATAGTTGTTTTTCACATTTCAGAAATGATAACAATTAACAATCCTGAAAATAGGTACATATCACATTGGAAAATAGCATACACTACAGCTGTACAAGAAAAAAATTAAGGCAAACTACAAAATAAGCACAATAACATTTCCTATGCAGTGCATTTACATTACACAAAATACGCTTCTCTGGAGAAACAGTGTGGGCATTAATTAGGTCTGTTACACCTTCCACAGGCTTCAAGACTTTATTTTTTTTCCCCAGAGCAATTATAGAGAGCATCATAATAATTTCCTGTACAGGTTATTTAAATGCAAAACTCAACTGATGCTTATTTAAACCTTTTTCTTCACCAAGGAATTCTCTATTTTTTTAGTGTATGGGTAACACTTTTATTAGCTATTCTTAAAAATACTAAAACTATAAAAAAATACACTTAAAAGCCATGTCATGTCACTTGAAACAAGTTCAGACATTGTTGTCAAAATCCTGAAATATTTTGACAGGATGTATACACATGAGATACACTGGAGGATACCTGTAATAACCTTATAAATAAAGAGGCTTTTACTGTTTTCCATCTTGTGGTACAGTGTTATGAACTGCAATAATATAAAAATGTGCAGAAGATAACATTACACTAAGAGCTAACATTTGATCCCTGTGAGTCTATGTGCAGTGCACTGTTTGCCTTCCCTGAAAAGCCAAGTAGGTTCCAGAACTGAAGGCAAAATGCATTTTTTAAGGAAAAATGTAAATCTCTGCACTAAAGAAGAATGTTATTTGAATGGAAAGGCTTAGAAACAGAACAAACAAGTGTTTTCAAATGATTCTCCTCTTCTGTAGAAGCCTTATGACTATGGTACCCAATGGAGCGGATAATTAACCAAAGACATGCCTTTCACTGATTTCACTGTGATAAAAGCAAGTGCTTATGTTTATAGGCCTTCCTAGAACAAGAGAGATTCAAACATTAACAGATACAAACCCAACAGAAATAGTTTTGCCATGTTTTTGGCAAATTCCAAACTTCTGAGCTTTGGAATTTCTTATGTTGTATGCATCAGATGGTGAGATTTGTATTTTAGGCTTACAGTATCTTCCACAAATCAATGTAGAAGCCTTTGCAGCATTTTAAAAGGTGGTGAACAAAGTCAAGATAAAAGGTCACCCTGACCCATCAGCCATGACAATTTCTACACCACAGAGAGAGGTTTTTAGCATCATACCCGGCTGCCTCTGAATCACCAGTTTAAATGACACTGTGCCCTCTTTTCAGCACAAGAGAAGTGGCAGGGCAACAGACCAGGTGAGGCTCAAACTCACGCAACCGGAAAAATCGCGGAAGAACTGAACCGACCCATCTCCACACATCATTAATGCCCCCAATTCACTCCTGCTGCTTGCACTGGGAACAGCCACACTTCCCCTCCCTTGCCAAGCTAAATGCTGAGCCCTCCCTTCTGCCAGGATAGTACTTTACAGGTTTGAAGAGCAGGCCAGCTATGGCTGTATTTAAAATGGAACTACCTTTTGGTTGCTACCACCTCTCATTTAAAGTCTTATTAAACTGCCTCAACAGGAGATAAAAGTGAGAGGTGCTGTGTAACAGCTGTTGCCTGTGCCTTGCACACAATGGCACAGCAGCATGAAACTGGACTACAACCAGCCCTGCCCGCTCAGCCCCTCTCCTTGGCATCATGCTTCTACCAACTAAACACAGCAAAATGTGCTTCCCTTTAGACCCTGAAGCAAAAACCTGAACAAATCTGTAAAACTGTAACTTCACAACTGAGAACACACACCTGGTCGTGTTGTGCCAGACCAGCAGCCTGTATCCTGTGGCCAACAGAAGCTGCTTATGGATGAGTGTATGAAACAGTGTGGGTCTGGATCACTTGCTCTCATGGTTTATCAGCTCAGGTTCTGGCAAGCAGTAGTGCTGGGATTTCACATAGCAGAGATGGCACCTGTTTAATATCCCTTAATCCTAAATAATCCAAGTGGATCTGTTTAATGAGTAAATTAACATTCAGCTGTTCACTGCCCCAGCCTTTCACCTGCAATATTTAGGTAGAAAGACTCTTTCTTCTTTGGAAGATGATAGACAGGCCCTGTGAGCATCCTACAGGACAGAGTGAGGTCCAGATCAAGCTGAAGCTGTCAGCTGTCCTCCTGACAAGTGCTGTCCTACTGTCTTGCTTGTGTTGGTCTCTAGCTTTGGACTAGAACTTGGGCTAGAAGAGAAACGTGCTAACATTTTTACTGTTTAGAAAGGTAAGATATATTATTCATAGTGCACTAATATGCAGGGAGATAATTTTGCACAAGCTTGGTTTTACTGCATTGCCTGGCTGTGCCCTGGCAGTAGTACTGCTACAATTTAATTTTTAACATTGCATCTCCTTCCCTTTCCCCCAGACCCAGGCTCCAATGATTGCCCCTTAGGTCCCAAAAGAGACAAGCAGGCCAACATACTATGTATGATCAAATATATTGCACTCTTAGTATTCTGAAACCTAAAATGGTTCAGTATAAGTTACGACTATAGGTTACAATTCTAATCTAAACAGACATGTCTGAGATACTAAAAGACACAATGCTTGCTTTGCTGCTGGTAAATCAAACATACAGCAAATTATCTCATTGGGGAATGGGGATGTGAAATGAATCACAGGCTAAGGCTTTAAGTAAAACTGTTCTGCAAATTGTAATGATGGGAGAGGCATGCAAAGGTCCCTGCTGATGTCTTGCATAAGAAATGACCTGTCTGCTCTATTACTAAATAAACATACAAATGCAAGTCTAACTTTGTCACAGAATCTAGAGACATTACAAGTCTTACTTGAGGAACTGGAAGAAATTGTCAAGAGATTATGACAGTGTAAAAAAAAATAAATTACAGGTTACATGATTGTTATTAACAATTCACATGAATCTGAAACTTTTAATTTATGCATTTTGAATAAAAAGTTCATTATTGGTGACAAGTACTACTACCACATCAGTCATAAAACACTGTAGATGCCTTTGCTTCCAGCAGAATCATTACACAACAAAGAGATGCCAATTTCTGAAATGTTTACTGAGGCAAATCTCCTGCACTATTTACTGGGAGCTCTGCCTGTGTAAGACCTTTCAGTTTTGTCCACAGTGTATGTTTCTAAAAGCCATGGGAAAAATACCCAGACACTGCATTTTATTTCTGTTTCACTCTCTACAAAAACAGATATAGTTCCTACCCAAACTTTAGCATATCCTGGGGGACTGTGTAGAAGACCTGTGCCATCTAAGCAGAACCTGGACAAAGTGGCTGAGGCATTTCCAGCCAGATCACAGTAAAGCAATTCCTATTCAGTGTTGTCCTTGCATTTTCCCATTTGGAGATGTTGCAGAGGAGAATTTTTTTTTTCTGTAACACTAGAAGAGGAAACAATCAAGTCCTCTTCAGCAATTAGTCTGTCCACTCTCCCTTATCCCATGGCCTTCAGTTTTAACTCAAACTCATTATTATATGGTGAAATCCCAGCTGGACAGGTGATGGTGGGGAAGATGGTACCAAAAATGGATCCCTGTCCCCACTTACATTCCTTCTATTCCATCAATAGCTGGGATTTCAGCAGAG